CCCCATTTTATTGTCCTCATTTTGCAAATAAGGAAACCAAAGCTCCAAGAGGTTTACCGAAGGTCACATCGCTTGTAGGTAGCAGAAACAAAGCCTTAAAACCAAGCCTCACCTGCCCTAAGTACCTGCGTGTTTACTACTACACCACGCTGCTCCCAGGTGATTGGTCTTCATGGAATCCAGGCCTGGACTACAGTATCAGCTCCTGACAGCCACTGCAATGCCCAGCCCTGCCATTAGATGTTACCCTAAGCAAGTTCCATAATGTCTCAAGCCTTTGTTTCCACAAACATAAAAATGGGAGAAAGATGAAAATGTGATGATTGCACAACTCTGTGACTACTAAAAACCATTTGAATGATTTGCTTTAAATGGGTAAATTATATGGTATGTGAATTCTATCTCAATAAAGCTATTAGGAAAAAAATAATGAGAAATGTTTCCTCTTCAGTGTAGTCTTTTTAAAAATTTATTTAAATAGTTTATTTTTAGAGAGGAAGAGAGAAACATCCATGTTGCCTCCTGAATGCCCCCTACTGGGTATCCAGCTGGCAACCTGGGCATTGTGCCCCTTGGCCGGGAATCAAACCTGTGACCTCCTGGTGCATGCCCAACAAACTGAGTCACGCCTGCCAGGGCTTCAGTGTAGTCTTGACGTAGGAGTAGCATAAAATTTCAAAGCCACTGTAGTAGGCAGGAAAATGTCCCCCCACTATGTCCAGCCTTAATCCCCAGAACTTGTGAATGTGTTACCTTACATGGCAAAAGGGACATTGCGGATGTAATCAATTAAGGATCTTGAGATGGGGAGATTATCTTGGACTGTCTGGATAGGCCCAATGGAATGGTTTTGTTTCTTATAAGAGAAAGAGGAGACAGGAGTTTAGGGAGACAGGAGAGTCAGAGAAGGAGATGTGATGCAGGAAGCAGAGGGGGTGGGTGGTGTGTGAAAGAGATTTGAAGATGTTACTGTTGGCTTTGAAAGAAAAGGCCATGAGCCAAACCAAAGAACACAGGAGGTTTCTAGAAGCGGGAAAAGACAAGAAAGTGGGTCCCCCCCTAGAGTCTCCAGAAGGAAGAATGCAGTGCTTGATGTTAGCCCAGTAAGACACATTTCAAACTTCCAGAACTACGAGATAATAACTCTGTGTTGTTCTAAGCTACTACATTTGTTACAGTAACAATAGCAATAAGAAACAAATAAGTTTTTAAAATAGTAAACACTTTGCCGAAACCGGTTTGGCTCAGTGGATTGAGCATCGGCTTGCGGGCTGAAAGGTCCCAGGTTCGATTCCGGCCAAGGGCAGGTACCTGGGGTGCGGGCACATCCCCAGTAGGAGATGTGCAGGAGGCAGCTGATCGATGTTTCTCTCTCATCGATGTTTCTAGCTCTCTATTTCTCTCCCTTCCTCTCTGTAAAAAATCAATAAAATATATTTTAAAAAAATAGTAAACACTTTATTGGTTCCCTCGGCAACTCCAGCACAAGTTTCTTTTGAAAGGGAGGCAGAATCAAGCTACCCAGTTATTCAATTAGAAAGTGAAAGACCTGAGATTACGAAAATAGGTCTGTTTCCAAAGACTGTGTTCTCTTCCCACTAACTTCTCCTCCAAGCGGAACTAGCACACTCACTCACACAGCCTGCTCCTTTCGCCCTTCCCTTTGTGCAGAACCCGACTGCCTCTAGAGAAGGCACAGAAACTTTCACATGGATTTTCTCCCAATATTTCCTTTATTTTTTATTTTTGGCTTTCAAACTTCTTTAAATTGTAAAAGATATATAACATAAAATTTACCATATGATTACTTTAAGTGTACAATTAATTGCCATTAAGTAACCACCATCACTATCTATTTCCAGAAAAATTTCATCATTCCAAAGAGAAACTTTGTACCCAATTAGACAATAACTTTCAAATCCTTTCTCCTCTTAGCCCCAACATTTTATTCTGAAAATACTCCAACATATACAGAAAGATTACAGTGAACACCCATTAACCTACCACCAAGATTCTACAATTAACATTTTGCTGTATTTGTTGTATTACATGTCTATCAACTTAGCCATCCCTCCATTCAACAATAAATTTTTGTTACCCATTTCAAAGCTGTAGATAA